CCTGACGGCGACGACGCTCGATCGGAGCGTGTAAGTGGCGGCGCATACATGTCAAATCCATCAAACGAATTTTGTGTATTTAATGAGATTTATTCCATATTTTTACGACTACATACAAATGCTACAGCCATGCTCATCGTCGGCGACGACGACGACAGGCCTAAAGCGGGCGGCGACGACACGCCGGGCGCCGACGCTGGCGTTGTCACCTGACCCGTGGCGGTACACCCTAGGGTTGGGGTTTGCCACCAGACTTCTACCCGGACCGCGGCCGGAAGCGGCAAGGGCATGGTGGTCGACGGGGAAGACAGCGAGGACGGGGTGTCGAGCAGAGTAGCGGACGGCCTTATTATACTAGTGTAGGCGGTGACGTGTACTGTATGTAGACCGATGCTCGAGCGTTGAAGTCAAGGGGGACGAGGTGGGGTACCCAGGGGGGGCGTTCAGGTGGGGTGGCAAAATAAGGTTTTCAAGACCCCTTGGTCTCGCGTCTTGGGGCGTAGTCCCAAGTCTAAGGAATCTCGCTTTTGGTGTCACTCGGGTGAGTATACGGGTCCGAGACGTCTTGACCCTGCAGGCGGCCTAAACGCTAAACCCAAGCGAGTGCTTCCGTCATTATAACTGGGGTTACGGAAGGTAACGGTAGGTAACGGTGTCCGCTCCACCCCCGCCTTCTGCAGCTTCCGTCGCTTGGCCGGGCGATAAATAACGCAAGCCTTGTCTTCGATCCCGTCATCCGTTTACTTCGTTGCTAAGATGTTTCCGTCATCTCGTCGGCCGTACGCATCACGCCTGCTTGCGATTGGCCGCTGCGTCTGCTGAAACGACTTCGCGTGTTGGCGCTGTCCTCCTCTTCAACGCTCATATGCTTCTTGTGTACTCCACCGCTCTGTGATTTCTAGGTAACAAGGGGATTGACCTGTTTGGGTTTGGCGAGTTTAGGTCATCCTTTGTGCAGCCAGCAGACACGCTCCATCCAAGTTCCTGAAGAGATATCCCTTTCAGGTGGAACGTGGTATGGAACCTTGGTATGTGAGGGATTCGAGCCCGAGCCGGGAGACGCGAAATTAATCAAGGGTATGGAAGAATGGAACGCGTCTTCGACTCGCACCCGACGGATCCATCTCGTCTGTACTGCGGCGGTTTTATTACTCTCCTCTGCAACCGATCAGACGAAGATCTTCGCCCTAATTCTGACGTGACATCAGAGAACCGAGCGCATCCCTATTTTCTCCCGAGCAACCCTGAGGCGAGCGCTATAAAGCCCAAGCATATTCGGTGCGACTCCCCATTGACTTTCACGTCAGCTCTTCGCCTCCCCTCCTAAAGCAAAACCCTTCTCTGCCTTTTCCTTTACTTACCCCCACGATCTTTACAAAATGCGCTCTTTCACCGCCATCTTCACCGTCGCCGCTGCCGCCTTCGCTGGCTTCGCTTCGGCCGCCCCCGTCGACACTTCTGCTGTCTCTGGTGCCCTTGACACCGTCAAGGGTGTCGTGTCCGGCGTCCCCGTTGTCGGCGGCATCGTTCCCCGCACGGATGCTCCTCGTGGTGTCCAGGAGATCCTAATTGAGGTCCAGACCAAGATCACTCCCCTCGTTCAGCAGATCCGTACGGTGATATTTTCTTTCCCACTTAGCGCCATTCTGATTGAAGCTGTGTAGAGTTCATCAAGGCGGACAATGCCACCGTTGATGCTCTGACGCCTGTCGTCCAGGGCATTGAGGGTATCCTCAAGGGTGTCGTCCCTGAGCTCCAGACTCTCGTCGGCCAGCCCGTCGAGGTCATCCTTGCCTCTGTCACCGGGACCGCCCAGGTCACCGTCGGCGAGGTTGCCCAGCTCGTTGCTAACATCCTGACGGTCAGCGAATGTCTATTTTAGCAGCCCTACATTCTTTGCTCACAAGCTACTCTTGCAGCTCGTCTTCGGTGCGCTCAACTCGCTCCTCAACGTTGTCGGCACCGGCCTCGCTGCTCTGCAGCCCCTGCTCAACGCCCTCGGCGCCGCCGTCGCCGCCCTGTTGACTGCTGTCCTCGCCGCCGTCAACTCCGTTGTTGGTGGCCTGCTCTCAGCTGTCCTCGGCCTGATTGGTGACATCGTTCCGATCATCCTGAACCTCAACCTGGCCACTGTGATCTCCATTCTCAAGCTCTAAGCGGCCGATGACCTGATGTATGTATTCCTCATGGATCACTACAATGAATCAATTAATGAACTGACAACAATGTATGTTGGTAGACCATTACTTCCGACATACCCCTCACGCCACATCTACTCCCTCGCTGTCGTAGCTCAGTAATAGTATGCTTTGAATTAACACTTAATTCGCACCTCCTTTGCTGAGTGGTCAGTACAATTACGTCTGATTGCATAAGAACTTGTGTCCAGCAACCTCGCTTCGATGGTTCGAGCTTAGTATATGAGAGAACGAGGATACTGTTCAAGATGAACGAGGGTCGGAATGTCAGTTAATCTGAGAAAGCTTTAGAAGGAACTGAAGTTTGTCATGCTCTCAGTTCGACCATGCTACGAGTAAGCGCGAGACGGAGGACGCATAGAAGGAGGTGAAGCCACACATCGTGTGGTATGCTGGCCTGGATGTCGTACATATCATGAATCGTCGGACACCGCTTAGACACCGCAGAACTACTTCGTGGAGATCGAGCCAGAAGGTCCAACTCCCGGATGATCTCCCGTATATGACCGGATCGAGACAATGCGTTGCCTTAATACGGAGATTGCATTACCTGCTTTGGCACTGTGGCAAGGACTCTCTGCTTGCCACAACTATCCTCCACGGTCAGCGTATATAAAGCCACTGGCAGCAACTCTCGAGTATGGGTGAAGGCACACCTTTCCCTCAACATCTTCCCCTCAACATCCCTCGCGGCGCCGTCTTTCTCTCCTTCTACTTTGCTGTTTCTCTTTCAGCCAGCGTTCACTGCGGGAAATCCGGGTTAGTCGCTCGGAGCTCAGGGCATTTTACACTCATATTGGCAAGACTCCACGGAAGAGTTACTACTTCGCACTAGGCGGTGGGCCTTGCATTGTCACGGAGCGCGTTCGAGTCTCGTGACGTCGCTGGAAAGTCAGGTGCTGACTGGACCCCAGGAGCGCTGAGCATTCCTTGCTTGCATTATTGCACCGTTCTGAAGTTTGCTTCTGGTTCTCTGAAGGGACTTGGAGGATCGACGGGGCTGCTTACCAGGCAAAAACAGCGCAGAACGCGCGCACACGGCCTTCATCTCACAGAGTCTCACTACAGTCCCGGACAAGCAAAGGCAACAAATTGATTTCTGATCGAACGAGATTTTTTGGCGGGAAACCGACTTCAGATTCGGACTCAGGGAGGCTGGAAACATCCAAAAATGAGGTCCCCTTATTTTTCCCACGACTTTGTGATATGGCCAAAATTTTGGGCCATTTCAACAACATTCTACACAGTCACCGGACCTCCCAGGTCATGCCCTGAGCCTTTGGGGACCTGTAAACCCTTGCATGGAGCTGCATCTAGGCTTTTGAAGACTTCAGACCTCCTTCTGAGGCTGCCCACTGGCAAGGAAGTTCAAATTTATTACACATGTTACCTTGACTGCCATATTTGGCCTGCACTTATGAGAGCTATTATTGCATATCGGCTGGTCCAATTATTAGATTTAAGCCGGAATCAGACTCAGCTCATTGAAAGGAGACGATTGGCATATTTTCCGCATTTTTCCCGATTTGTTTTGTATACGGCCAAAATTTTGGCTAATCCCGACCCATTATTGAAGGCTACAGGGGGTTTATGGGAAATCGGCTCGTGCCAATCTCTTCTTTAGAGTCGAAATCACTCGTTTCTGCAATAAAATTGGGGTTCCCACGGCTGCTGGACCTCAGGAAATCCGGTCACCGAATTTGTTGTCTTTGGTTGTCCGGGACTGTAGTCCTGCCCCACAGATCCTCTCATATCGGCGACTCTCACGGCCCTGTGTACGGGGTCTCCTATCCAGTCACTTTTGCTATACGACTCTATTCCGAGCTCGGCTTCATTGCTTCACTGCATATCTCTGGCTAACTTATAAAAGGGTCGATCCGGATTGACTGGCTGGCCGTACCCCTTTACTAGTAGTTCAACATGCTTGCAGCCACCCGAGCAGCCAGCATCGCCGTGCGGACGGGCGCGAGGCGGGCAGTGGTCGTAGCGGGCCAGCGCCAGGCTGCCCTGTCCGTGGTGAGGAAGAGAAATAATGGGCAGATTAGAGGGATGCAGAATCTCGCGCAGACTGATCGGGTATGTGGATTCCCAATTCTACAGTTTATCGCGTACTGAGCTGGCGTATAGGACACTATCATGCGCCTCCTGTACTCTATCGGTACGAAGCAGGAGGTCGAGCGCTACCTGCGCATCTTCTCTTCGTCCTCGCACCCGTCTCACCCTGCCAAGTTTGCGGTGATAAAAGTTGGAGGCGCGGTCCTCGACGAACTGGACGAGCTCGCGCATAGCTTGAGTTTCCTGTACAGGGTCGGGTTGTACCCGGTCGTCCTGCACGGAGCCGGGCCGCAGCTCAACGACATTATAGAGCGGGAGGGAGTGATCCCCGATTACATTGATGGCATACGGGTCACAGGTGCGTGTCTGTGTTCGTGGTCTGTGTAATCAGTGTACCTTACCGGGTGAGACAGACGCAAAGACCCTGCAGATCGCCCGCCGCGTGTTCCTGGAAGAGAACCTGAAGCTGGTTGGGGCATTGGAGAAGCTGGGCACGCGTGCGCGCCCTATCACGTCTGGCGTGTTCACCGCCGATTACCTGGACAAGGAGAAATACGGCCTGGTCGGCAAGATCACCCGCGTAGACAAGAGGCCACTGGAGGCATCTATTAGAGCGGGTGCTCTGCCGATCCTGACTAGTCTCGCAGAATCGCCGGAAGGACAGATTCTGAATGTCAACGCAGATATCGCTGCGGGCGAGCTTGCCAAAGAGTTGGAGCCGCTCAAGATTGTGTTCCTGAACGAGAAGGGTGGCCTGTTCCACGGTGTAACTGGCGAGAAACTGGATGTCATCAATTTGGACGAGGTACGTGTTTCTCATATATTGCAGTGGACAGAATCTCACGATTATCATAGGAATACGATACGCTGATGAAGCAGCCGTGGGTCAAGTACGGCACGAAGCTGAAGCTGCGTGAATTCAAGGAGCTCCTGGACCACCTGCCGCGCTCGTCCTCCGTCGCTGTGATCTCTGCGTCAATGCTGCAGAAGGAGCTGTTCACGGACAGCGGTGCCGGCACTTTGATCCGCCGCGGGTACAAGCTATTCAAGCACGATTCCGTCGAGGGGCTCGGCGCCGACCGCCTCCGCCAGGTGATCCACGACCGGGACCCCGACGTGCTGTCCGGCGAGGCGAGCGTCACGGGCGTGCTCAACGAGCTGAAGAAGGCGCCGTACACGCTGTATGGCGACGAGCCGCTCGACGTCGTCGCGATTGTCTCGCACCCGCCCGGGGAGACCCCCGTGATGACGAAGCTCCTCGCGTCACGCAGCGGCATCCTGAACAGCGTCGTGGACAACGTGTTCAACGCGATCAAGAAGGACTACCGCCGGCTGTTCTGGACCGCGAACGCCGACGACGAGAACCGCGCGTGGCACTTCCAGCGCGCGGACGGGAGTTTCACGCGTTCGGGGAAGAGCCTGTTCTGGTATGGCGTGCAGGATGTCGCGGAGGTGGAGAAGATCGTGAAGGAGTTTGAGGCGAAGGGGCGGCTCGACCGGGCGTACTTGCCCGTCGGGCCCTCTGCACCACCTCACCGCGGCGCCGCAGCTCCATCGGGCCCCAGCGGGTCCAAGGCTTTCTCGACTCTGGCAAGGAGGATCCCTGGGTCGTCGAGAGGATATGCTACCGCGGCCTCTGCTCCCTCTACGGAGCCGAAGAGGCTTGGTTTGATTGGTGCGAGGGGATACACCGGGCAAGCGTTGACGACCCTCCTTGCGGGCCACCCCTACCTCAACCTGACGCACGTCTCCTCCCGCCAGCTGGTTGGGTACCCTCTCGAGTCGTACACCAAAGCTCCCGTCACGTACTCTAATCTGTCGGTGGAAGATGTTGAGCGGATGGAGAAGGACGGCGAAGTCGACGCGTGGGTCATGGCCCTGCCGAACGGCGCGTGCAAGCCCTTTGTGGATGCCGTCGACCGGGGTTCGCAAGCACGCAAGAGCGGAGACGCGAGCGTGATTGTGGACTTGAGCGCGGATTACCGGTTCGAAGATGGGTGGACGTATGGGCTTCCCGGTGAGGGACCTTTACCGTGAATGTATATTAGAATGATTGAAATTGAATTGTGTCTCTCTCTTTGCTGTCTGCTAGAGCTGTATGGACGCGAGTCAATCAGGGCATCCAAGAGGATATCGAACCCGGGGTGTTATGCGACGTCCTCGCAGCTGCTCATCGCGCCCCTCCTGAAGTACGCGAATCGGGCTTCGCTTCCTACCGTCTTCGGCATGTCTGGGTACAGCGGCGCGGGTACAGTTGCTACCACCGACTCCCATGGCAAGCCGGTTACCCTGCCTAAGGTCACCCCAGACAGCCTCGCGGGCGGCGTCAAGCCCTACTCTCTTACGGACCACATCCATGAGCGCGAAGCCGGCCGTCACTTGACGCGATTGCTTTCCGACCCCTCCAGTCCACTTAAGATCGCGTTCATCCCGAATGTGGCGCCATGGTTTAGCGGGATACTGTCCGTGCTCTCGATGCCGCTCAGCGAGAAGATCACGGCGAAGGACGTTGCGCAGCTGTATGAGAGCAGGTACGGCGGGGAGAAGCTGATCACGATCAAGCGGGAAGTACCCGTGCTGAAGGACGTGGAGAATAAGCATGGCTGGACTGTCGGCGGGTTCCAGGTGCATAGCGAGGGCGATAGGGCCGTTGTGGTCGTGAGTACTCTTTGTGGCGGAAACTCCTGCTCGAAGCTGACGTATTCCTGTGCTCCTTAGGGTGGTTTGGATAACCTGCTTAAGGGCGCAGCCACGCAGTGCCTGCAGAACCTGAATCTGGCTCTGGGATATGATGAATACGCTGGCATACCTACGGATTGAATGGGTTTGATCTCCGTCTGGGTGGTCATCTTGCTCCATATACTACATAACGGCTAAAAGTACTTAAGAACTATCGCGATAGAATTGCCTTACGGCGGGTAGTAAACATCGTTAAAATAGCGCCGGGGATGTGGTCCCGCCTTCCGAATTGGTGTCAATGGAAATAGAGACATCTACAAAGGATCCTAATGCCAATGCGTTAGCATCACCTCAACATCCTTCTTGTAGTTCTGCAAGCTGTAAAGCATGTTGACGAGACACACCGCTGCGCAAATGCTATTTGCTTTCCTCCGGCGTACACAAAGCAGCATGACTTCAAGCGTGGAGTGCCGGCCACTTTCGTACATCGTTTCTCTTCTAGCGCCTTGTATCTAAACCAAACCGACTTCATGGCCGCCGACGGCCAAGGCTCCGGCTATTATCAAAGTGCACTCTACCGCATCCAAGAGACAGAGGATAAGCCAAGGACAGTGCGTCCGCCGTATATTCCCCCGAACACGACGGAACGGCAGGTCAAGTCTGTTCGTAGATCTTCATTTCCCGAATCCGTGCGGTTCTTGCGTATATCGTGCAATGACGTCTCCCACAGGTCCCTGAACCGGCTGCCTTCAAACCGTCCGAGGAACAGCTCTGGGTGCTGGACGCAAACGGCGGACGGAAACCGAACGTGGACTTCCTGCGATACCATTTCTATCGGGAAGGTCGGTTGACCGAGTTCCAAGCCTTGTCCATTCTTCAACAAGCGACGGGGGTCTTGTCTAGGGAGCCTAACCTGCTGACGGTCGATGGCCCTGTAACGAGTGAGTCTTGGCTCTTACTGCTTGGCTGGGCGTCGACCTGACACGAGCCCGGCGGAGCTCAGTATGCGGAGACATCCATGGTCAATACGTGAGCTCGCCATCTCTGACCCTCGATCAAGTCCCTGCTCAGAGCCGTCTGCGCAGTATGATCTAATGAAGCTGTTTGACGTTGGAGGGCCGGTGGAGAACGGGAACTATCTATTTCTGGGAGATTATGTGGATCGCGGTTGTTTTGGTATTGAAGTGAGCGTTTCCGTCTCCATCGTTTTCTATATGGCTGCCAACGATCGAATGCATGGATTAGTGTCTACTGTTTCTGTATACCCTGAAGATCTGGTACCCTAATCGAATATTCCTCCTACGAGGCAACCACGAATGCCGGCATTTGACTGCATACTTTACGTTCAAGCAGGAATGTAAGCACGCCTCATGTCCGTCCTGGTCAAGTTCTCATCGGCATACACGCAAGGTCTACACAAGTACTCGGAGCGCGTGTATGACGAGTGTATACAATCGTTTTGCGCCCTACCCGTTGCAGCGGTAGTGGATGGCCGATTCTTCTGTGTTCACGGAGGAATATCCCCCCAGCTTGTCACCTTGGATGATATCTATAAGGCAGGGTCTTTCTTTGAGGTTTATTTCCGACGTTGCAACTAAGTTATGTTCTTCGCAGATGGATCGCTTCCAAGAACCCGGCTCTCATGGCCTGTTATGTGATCTCCTATGGGCCGACCCCATTGCCAACTTTGATAGTCCAGACGATCCAAGCGTGATGGGGTACGGATTCAGACACAACGAGACAAGGGGCTGTTCGTACTTCTTCACGTTAGTTCAAATCCCCGCTCGAGCGCTGCGTCATCACTGGTCCTGACTTTCCTGGCTAGATATGCCGCCGCTTGCACATTCCTCGAACGTAACGACCTTCTTGGTATCATCCGAGGGCACGAAGCGCAAGACGAAGGGCAAGTACCTTCCCTCTTTCGTGCAGAGAGCAACTTGAGAATGACGTCTTCTGCCATACAGGTATCGCATGTACCGGAAGACTCCCACAAAGAAGTTCACCTCCGTGATCACGATATTCTCCGCGCCAAACTACCTGGATGTGTACCACAACCGCGGCGCGATCCTGAAGTATGCGAACAAGAACATTACGATCCGCCAGTTCAACTGGACATCCCACCCCTATTGGCTCCCGAACTTCATGGACGCGTTCACTTGGAGTCTGCCGTTCGTTGGCGCCAAGAGTACGTCCCCTCTTCCCTTCTCTTCCGTGGCGGATCCCGGCCCTACACGTACTAATCTCCAATCGCTGTTAGTCACTGAGATGCTCCTCGCTATTCTTAGTATATGCAGCGAGGAAGAGCTCGACTCCGTCGACTCGGAAGAAGATGAGACACGCACGGTTGTCGATCTCAGCATGTCGGCGACGGAGATTGCGCAACGGCGGCAGGAGATCAAGAATAAGATCTTGGCTGTGGGCAAGATGCAGCGGATCTTCCAGCTGCTGAGGTTTGTGACTGCTTGGACTTCCAATACACTCCACATAACTGATGTGGGTGCTTACGCTTGCCAGAGAGGAGGCAGAGAGCGCCTCGGAGTTGTCGCCCAGCGATGAGGGCCCGTCGGCGTCTGGTCTGGCGCCTCGTCTTGGGCCTGATGCTCTGACGGTGCAGGGCAACAACGTCCGACGATATATCCGGACATTTGACGATGCGTATGTCTCTTATCTCTTAGCCCGTTGATTCCGCGTATTTCTGACTGTGATTGACATGCAGGCGCCGTTCCGACCTTGTCAACGAGCGGCTTCCCGAGTTCTCACCGCCGCCTTCACACTTCCCCCTGGTGCCTGCGCCGAGTATGCGCTTGCAGAAGGCGGGCAGTCCGGGGAATATGGAAGTCCTCATTAAGCGGGTATTGGAGGAGACGGAAGACGGTGATGTTGTAGAGCATATAGCGGATCGCATAGCACAGGGGAGGAGGGTGACGGGGAGACCCAGGGCGCTGAAGCGGTTCGAGACGACGTGAACTGAGACTCTATCGTTCAGTGGACATCTACGGCTTGGGATGGTTTGCAGACTACGTATCAGGAATATATCAATAATGTGACAACAGGAGTTGGACAGCACACGTCGCCAGCAGCGAAAGCAGCGGCCAACTGAAATCGTTTAGTAGCGCCTCGCACTTACGTACAGGATTGGACCTCAATCCTGAGATGAGATGAGCGTCTAAACTTTACTTCTGGTAATCGACTCAACACCGTGATTGAGTGAAGGCTTATATCTATTGACGGGATATCACGGAGCATAATAAGGATGGGAAAGGCAAAACGTCGGAAAACCAACCAGACAGGCTCCATAATCGATAGGCACTGATACAGAGTAAGCCCGAAGAGAAGCTCCTTCACCGCTGGCTCCGACGTAGAATACTGGCGCTATATTCGTGCGGGAGCCAGAACATCGAGTGCAACCGTGGAGGGACGCACAAGGCGGCTGAACAGATCACTTTAGAGTTAACCTCGGAGTTTCGGAGGAAAGTGCCCCTTGCAACGGCGCAGATTATATCGCATGCTTTGGAGACCTGATCAAAGAACCTTCTATGAGTCTTGACGTTGAAGCCTGGCAGCGGTTGCCGCAGTCCCTGACTCGGTGAATGCAACATGTCTCGGTGCGAAACCTATAGTGGTGCAGTTCCTACTTCAGGCATAGGAACTGAGACGGACGTTCAGGGAATACAGATGAAGGGTCTAGAGTTCTACTCTCCGCAAGGTCCAGGAGACGGCTATCTGTACGATGGATTAATTCACCGTCACCGTAGGCACACCCACACCTGTCCGGCGCCTGTGGTAGGGACACCAACCGCTTTTTAGCTAGCCGGCGGTTCCATGCTGCATGGTGAGACGACACAGTCCACCTGACCATCCTGTTGTTCTATTCCGCACCGATATATCATTATCAGCCGCCGGTTGTGTATCAATTGCACGCACAGTACGAAGCTCTAGGTAAACCTTGACCAGCGAGCTTAAGCTGACACCCGCTTCGTGCTTTCGCGCGCCTGAGATTATAAAGTAGCGGCGACTAGATACAGCATCAACAAGTATCGATGGCCTGAGAACATACCGTAAAGCTATGAACCTCATCACGTCTCATGTCTCAGCTGGACACACGAAAGTAGCTCACAAGTCAGGCAGTCACGGCCTATGTTATGAGCGAACTGGACACCTGTATCAAGCGTTAAGAATAATTAGATCCGGACGGATAACAAGACGTATGATTTCAGGAAGGGATAAGCAATGTGGGTCACTGAAGTCAGCACATGAACGAGTAAAAGGAGTAACGCTCAGGAGGAAGTGTGAGAGGCTGAGGGATGTTGGCTGCGAGTAGTTTTTGATCAACTAAATAAAAATAACAAAGGGCCTTACCCAAGTGCCGGTAACGAACAACATAGTGCTCAAACGAGTTTGCCCTAGATGTTCCAGATGTGAGACTATATCGTGTTTAAAAGGTTGGAGTATCTTAGACTGTGACCTCAATAATAGTTATAGGACACAACTGACGATGTCTTACGTGCTATTATGAAAGGATGCTGAGACTTTGAGTTTGCAGATTCGTACCGGCTGATTCGACTTGCCTTCTACTAGCAGTCCGTAGAGTCTCTTGACCGAAGTTATTAGTTGTTAAGAACGCGAGTGAGTGAGCACTGGCGAGGCTGTGCCATGATGCAGAGCAAAGTAAAAATAACGACCTTATATGTGACTGGTGGCTGCCAAGGCATGCGCTCACGCGACGCACTCGAGTGACTCGACAGCATCGCGTCCCCGTATGACGCACACCTGATGCAGGTAGAGTAGGTCGAGGGAGTGTCATGCAAGTGTCTGTGGCCTCCAAAATATACAGGTAAACATATGCAAATATATTTAAAGTATCTAAAAATACGAAAATATTTGTCGGAGATTTCCGTCATTGCATATAATTGGATATAATCCGATAATAATCCTTCGCTCTAATGATAATACGATTTTTGCTTATAATGAATTATAATCCTAAAATAATTTCAATAAAAGTGCATTATAATTAAGGATGCTTTTTTCAAACGCCTCCCAGCGCTTTGATTTGTACTTGCTATTGAACCCCAATATAGTGGCAATATATTGATGTGGTGCACAAGGGACAGTGGCAAGGACACCCGCAGATATTTGTGTCGATGTCTTTTCACAATTATAATGGATGACGGAAAGTTCCGACATTGTCAATTTCCACTGGCCTTGACTCACAGTTGTCTCGCTGCAGTCGTTCGCTCCGTAGCGCTGGTGACAGCTGGTGACACCACCTCGTTTTATAGCATGACTACCTTTTTCAGGGCATGAAGAGCCAAATCCTTAGGGCAAAGGCAGGATTCATCCCCGTCAAGCAAACTACTGTGGAAGATTGGACGTGCCTGTGATATTCAACAGCTCGAATGTACAAAACTAACACAGACCCGCAACATGACAGGACATGTCACCATTGTCACGCACGCGCTTCAAAGCGCCCCTACAATATGTTGATGCTCTAGGCATATGTGGTGCCAGGCTCCTAGAACCATCCGTCTCGCGTCCTCGATCCTCTCTGCTAGGGCGTGTGTGAAGATGTTATCTAATATGGCTTATATAATGCACTTTATTTATAGCTGTGTTTCCTGATTAAGCCGAACGGTGAGGATGAGGACGCTATGAGACGGCTGGCCCAACTCGTCGTCCGAGGTTTCACCGGAATTATGTAAGGTAGCTAAGCGACTAACGACGCGTCGGTTTACCGTTGGTTTATTGACGTTCGTCGACTGCCCGATTCGGATTGAGGCTTGCTCTTCGAGCATGTCCTCTGCTCGTCTGCACATTGACGGCGTCGTGGACTTAAAGATGTTTATATCAGAGTAGTGCTATATCTGTATTATTGATGACATGCACGTTCACCAACTGCACTGGGAACATCCCAATTCAACAAATAAAACAATGAATGACTATTTACCACAACAGTCTAGATAGGGCAAGCTGCTCTGGTCTCTCTCTTTCTCTTTGCATACCAAAGCCAAAGGAGACTAACTACACACACAATATTAAAAGGTCTCAGGCTACTCTGCAATGAAGAACTTGGTGCTTGGACTTTGCATTGTATGTAAATTAATCTATTCATCGAAAATATAGCAACAGACCCCTAGACACTCGTGTATTATTGTTTCACTATCTCACTATCTAAGAAATGGCTTGCTATATTACCGTCAGATTTTATCCCTGTCCCACCGCCGTCAATGTGCAGACGAGCAGAGGACATGCTCGAAGAGCAAGCCTCAATCCGAATCGGGCAGTCGACGAACGTCAATAAACCAACGGTAAACCGACGCGTCGTTAGTCGCTTAGCTACCTTACATAATTCCGGTGAAACCTCGGACGACGAGTTGGGCCAGCCGTCTCATAGCGTCCTCATCCTCACCGTTCGGCTTAATCAGGAAACACAGCTATAAATAAAGTGCATTATATAAGCCATATTAGATAACATCTTCACACACGCCCTAGCAGAGAGGATCGAGGACGCGAGACGGATGGTTCTAGGAGCCTGATGTGGTGCTGTATTTACTTGCGAAGGCTCTCGTCTAGAAGATATTCGCCGCTTTCGCGGAGCCTAAAGACCTTCATGCGGGCGAGAGAAAATTCTCGCTTCGCTGCCATCGGTGTCGATTATAGGATGCCCGAACATGCCATGCCTTGCCCGGGCCTCGGTAATGATGGATCGAAGCTATGGAATGAAAACCAGTCATCGAAATATCCGTTAAGAGGTAAGCGGTGTGTGGTCTCCTGTTAAAATATCCGACATATACGCGGGAGCCAACTGCATTATCTGAGGTCATCACACCATATAGTCGTCGTCCGTATGTTACTTAGTACAACTTAGCTCGCAGCTACAGCAACACCGCAATGATAGCGAGAGGTACCATGGCTTACCAGAAATCTTAATGGTCGATGTCCGATATGTTTCGCTCCAGTGCTTTGGCGTGTGATTCCCAAGAAGAAACTGAGTCGTCCTACTCGGGCTCACAGATGCCTTCCCTGGTCCTGTAAGTTGGGCTGATTACATCGAGGTCTTCTGTCACAGCGAACGTTAACACTCTCATGCTCGGAAGGGCACGCTTTCACAGGACTCCTCATTGCACTCTTCTATGTCCACTATTTCGCCGGGCTTCCCCCCTGCGTAGCTTGCCATGGATGTTCTCATCTGGTGCGCCTGAAGTGGCTAGTAGGCAGAAGGTCTTCTGCTATGATGATCTCCTATCTGGTATATATGAGCGTCATGTGGCAGCCGCTAGCTCAATAACTCGGATGTCACCGTTTGTAGACTCGGTTTCTTCCCTAGATGGCCGGTGCTCCTAATGAATCGCAACTCGGGGTCGGCTTTCATTTCCCTAACCCCCGCCCATCCCGAGCTTTAGACTTGAAGGCCGTTCCATGCATCTTGTGCAACGGAAGGGTGCCATGCCCATCAAAAGGTACGACAGTTATATTGGCGTAAACGCTGTTACAAGTTAAGCCCGGTCCGTCGTGTCAAGTGTTTTGCACGGACGGCCATAGGTCTGGCTCGTCTTTCACGCGCGCAAGTCTTCTTGGGACCTCGGGATCTCATACATTCAGTAGGGTCCGTTCCGCCACGGGCATATACGTGGTTGCGAATTTAGTCTGCTGGTACCTGGAATGGGGTCCATGGAATTGAGGAAGCAAAGACTCTCGCGGAAGGTGATAGCTCTGGATATATGAGGAGCTCATGAGGACACCCGAGTCAGACACGTGCGCAGACTCCTCGATAATTTCGAAGGTTATGGTCACATACCGCGTATTGAGGGATTACGTGCTTTCTACTCAACTCAATCGACCGAGGTGTAGGGCATACATCCTTCTCGACCGCTGCAACCACATATACTCAAATAATATTATGATGTGCCACGTGGCGGGCGGAAAGGCTGGCCTATGTAGGTTTGTCAAGATTGGCGGCATGCCGTTGGAAGGTATGGAGATAACGCCGCTGCATCAGGTTGATGGGGCATCTCCCTTCTCAAAATCGACTCCTCAGCATCGATGGTAAAGTATGACGTTCACATCAGGGGAAGTGTCGGGAAACTGGTAAAGTCATCCATATTTTACCCTCGTACCCACGCTCGACTTTGACCTTACCCTTCGAGCGGCGTGCTGCGATAGATTCCGTCATAATATGGGCCCTTTGTGACAAATGATGACATTCGATACTACTCGGGCATATGGTGGCCAAGTGGAAACCAGTGAGCGTCCGGCATTATCCTTGAAACACTTCTGGCTTTAAAGTGACCGACACCCTGTTGAAGTGAGAAGCCTTTACAGATGAACTGGCATGCCGCTGAAGCCGTTTCAAATTGCTGCTGCTGACTTACACGAGTCTTGAGTTGTTCGTAGGATGCGCGAAAGTGAGAAACGTAGGAAGGCCGAAGGCGATTGTAATCTCAGATTAATATTTGCTTCCGGCATTCGCTGTTTTATAGCCCCAGTTCCGAAGATTATCGTTATCATATCTGGATAGATCTACTCTCAGCTCAGAAGATGCCGGCCATTTATGCGCAACCGCCGCACGAGCGTGCCATGGGAATCTCTGAGGTTTGATTGTCATAGGCACCCATTTGGCGTGGTATCCTGGACAGCATGGGAGCGTTCTAGAGGAGGTTGTCGGTTCCGTGCGGTGCAGCACCGTCCGCATCGACATTATCAAGGCACTTACGTCGTACGGGCAGGGTGTTAAGTCTCCGAGGGCGCAACTGACTCGGCAGAATGTCCGGTCTTCAGAATCGTCTAATCCAGACAGAAGACATGACATCAATTACCGGCGAACAGACAAGATTAGACTGTTCTCGCGCCTCTGCATATCTCGGCTCAAGCAAATAGCCGGGAGACCAACTAATGTTAGAGTGTAGAGTTGTGGGTGTCTTTGCACGGGAAAGTCCTCGTCTCGGAAGGTCGGCGACCTGGTTCTATGATCATGCAGATGCTCCGGCTGCGCGGCGGAAGTAGGGAAAGGGTTGCGATGCAGTACAGCCCCTTCGCTGAAGTTATTTAGGTAAGAGGCCCATTGTGATCTCTTCCTTGGGTATCCGCCAGGGAAGTCCCAAGTTAAACGTGGGGTCCTACCTCTCATTTACCTACGACGGGGCCTGTGTCCTTCGTTGATTGCCTTGGCCTGAAAATGATCCATCAGGACCTACAACCCCGTGTAGCGTATTTTTATCGTCATGAGGTATTCGGCACAGCGTCGACCTTATAAAGGCTGGTAACATGCTCCTAGCTTTATTAGAGGCTAGGTGCAAGATGCACTCTCCGTCGCTCAGGATCGCTCTCCTCCTTGTTTGTGCAGGATCTGCTCATATATGTTTCCGAGCACCCAATCCTCCACCCCCGTCTGAGCAGCAGCTCAAGAAGAGGAATATTTTCGAGAAGAAGGTTCGTTGGGTCACCTTCAGCTGCCAGGTTCGTGCTAGTGTTTATATGTGAGAGATGACAAGCGGGCTTACTTTCGGACGTGCCTCGCGAAGGCTGGCGCTGCGCTCGCAGCTCTATTTGATGCTGCAGCGACATATGGTGTAGCCTTCGCTCCGACACAGTTACAGAGATACACTTGCTTCCGACCATTACCCGTAGCGCTGATGGAGGTCGATCCAATATTCCTGTCGGGGGTCACCCTCATGGTTTTGGGATGCGTCCTCCGCAAATGGTGTTACCGAACATTGGGTCGTCTATTCACTTTTGAAGTCAGCATCGACCCTTCCCATCGCCTCGTCACAGAGGGGCCATATGCATATGTCCGCCATCCGAGCTACACCGGCATTTTTCTCGTGCTCGCCGGTGCAACTACGGTGATGTGCTCAAAGAACTCCTGGTTGCGACAGTGCGGAGTCATGGAGAGGGGAGGTGCCGTAACGTTGATCATGTGGCTTGCGCTATGCGCCTGGTCGGGGAATTGTCTGAGACAGAGGTTGGAAGTGGAAGATGGGGAACTGAAAGTTAAGTTCGGAAAGATCTGGGAAGATTATGCTGCGCGGGTACCCTATACGCTTATCCCAGGTTTAGTCTAGCATAAAAGCTTGTGGCGCTCCAGGCTTGGTTCATGGTAGACATTCCCGCGATGGATGGGTGCAGTATATTGAGGGAAGAAGGTTAGACTTGCGTTCTTGATGTCATGTCGCCTACAGCCTCGGCAAATGATTACCAATGGTACCACAGTACCACCGATCCAATTCAGTTGACGTGGTCCTCAGGGTGTTGCTGCGTAGATCCTGTGGTCTCGGTGACATGGGAACTGATAGCCGACTTAGCTCTGCAAGTCTGTTTGACAAAGCAGTGACAGGCGTTGACGTGAAGATTCTGGCAGCAAGAGTTGTGAGCGTTCGATCAGCGAGTAGTGAGTAATGCTCGCGATGCAATGTGGTCAGGTCATGCCGTGTGCAGCCAATTGGTATGCATGGTAAACAAACACCGGTCGACTAGACTACGGGAGACTTCAGATATCTTTTTTGCGCCACGTATTCCTGTCCATTATTCAGTTCGTTCTAATATGTCGCGATTCGGAAAGAGGCAGAAAACCAAAGCAGCCGAGAACAACCACCTACACGATGGAGAATCGGTAAGAATATTACTTGAATTTCAAGACCGTGGAACTTCTCCCGAAACAACAGTAGGGGGGACCTGGCAATAGATGCAGCTGAACCGACTGGAGACACATACTGTACAAAGGGAGCGACCTATCCGTCTAGTCCAGTGATAGTCCCTGCCCTGACGTGGTCAGCCGCGTTCACTTGGCCAGTAGAAGGCTGGGCACATTTTGAATACACGTGGAGATAGGCAGGAGAAGAAGAAGAGAGGTCGAGCGGTTCCGAGGATTCTTAATATACTTGTCAGACAAGGGCGCCAGATGACATGGAGCGGCGGGGGAGACTTTCTCTAAAAAGCTACTAGCTGATTCTCATGAGCCTACCGAAGCGAGTAGCCGGTAATCAACAAGAGGGCATTCGGTCTTACCGGCATCCACAATAACGGCTAAAGCATCCGGTGCACGTCACTTGGGTGTGAAAGACGCTCCTCCACAGATCATCATCAGAATTTCCTTCCACTAGAATCAGCTGTAGCGACAGTACGAGTGAAGATATAATCAGGTGGGTGCTGCCAGTGTGGATATTGGTATCCGGCTTGCGGAGTCGATGCCGGGAGGTAACCTATGTCGGACCAACGGTTAGTGAGATAGATCCCGATGGCACTCGCTCCGGAGGTGTATTTGAATGACAGACATTACACAGCAAAGCCGGCAGAATGAGCGGACTGTTCGTCAGTAAAGAAACCGGTCGCGCAGTGATTCTGGAATAAATCTGTCCGAGGAATGAGACGATATTTTGACTGGACAGCGCGATGCCAGCACTGATACAAGAGAGTCCGTGGCTCCTCGTACTGCAGGATAGCCTGTGGATTTATCACGGATATATTACCACGTTGCGGGTAGCGCATATTCGAATATATCTTGAGCTGCCAGGGAACGCCTGTAACGAGGAAATATTATCAAATAATCCACAATTTCACCGACAAGCGCCCTGTTGCCTCACGATATGTCAATTACCATTGCAAGCGTCGGTGTCTTCCGACATTATCCGGGGGGTACCTTTATCTGCTGGAGACTTAATACGGTCAATTCCGAGGCAAGAAGGGAATATGAGGCCCCTCGGGCGACGTACCAACGAATCGGAGGTGTCTGTTCTGCGACCTTGAGGTTAACAGACGTGTTTCCATAAGACAACTATGAAAACAGATGTCTCCTGAGAAAATATGTATCTAAAAGCTAAAGCCCCGATCGATGGACTTGGCTGAGAAAGAAAATTACGAACACGAGAGAATCGTGGTTCGGTGAGCTTTGCACATCCCATGCCCTCGATATACTTCGGAAGGAAAGTCCAGAAAGACTTCCGCAGTAGAGACACAGCGGAACACCAGCAGACGCGTTCTGTTTAGCTCCATGATGTATCTATAACTGTCGTAAGTCATAGATACGAGTGCGGTCACTGCGGGTCACAGTCGACAGGGCCCATGAGTTCTGCAGTGCGCGTGTTCACTTACGTTCAACGCATTATAGAAACGAAAGCGAGACAAAACAAAGCCAAGCCAAGAAATTCAAATGGCCGTGCGATCGCAAGGGTTCTCCTCGTGTGCCTGTCAATGCAAACTGGTAATATACACGCGGATGTTATAATCCTCTCCGCATATCCCCAGAATCAGAGAACATACTGAATATATTAATCAAAGTGCTCATACGGTCCTCCGGGAGCGATTTCCGTCATTCCTCCCGACATACGCGAGCTTACCACGCTCGTGAGTTGGAGCCGAAGGTGGAAGAACTGGAAGAGGAGCAAGGGAACCCTAACCTCAAGCCAGACCCGAACAGAATACCATATCTAGCTCACACCGACCGCTATATAGTCTCCATGTCGCCTACAAACTCTCGGGCCGGTAGACTGGCTGTTGATCCAATTTGAAGTTGCAGTGTCAACCATACTATCATTGAGGGCAGTGATGGGCCGGTTAAGGCTGAACCCCTTGCCTCCTGGACCGGGTTTGACCAGTTTCCCACGTTAAACCCAGGTTTGACGAAAGTTAAGGAGTTAATGCGTGACCCGCACATGACTTGTACCTGCCATATGAGGCCGTAATGATATCATAGATAGTCACGTGCATTGCGCGCCCGGAAGCTGAGACCGGGCAAGCGCGTCTCGTTGAAGTTGAATGTTACGTTGATTACGGCGCGTTACCTTCCCCTGCGAAACCCATCTCGTTATCCATCATCAGTGATCTATGCCGACGGTCTCTCAGTGGTGGGAATACTTCCGGAAGGGCACGCAGCACTACAAGAATGACACCGTCCACTGGGATGCATGGTGCAATTCGTGCCTCAAGCACCGTACAAATGAAATTGTACAGTTTCAGAGGGTGACTAGTCAAAGCTCGGGATCTGCGGGAGTAGTGATGAGCTATGAAGATGCCGAGGCATGCGGTATGTCTCTGTAATCTCTTTAAAACAAACTCTGCTGATACTCTATCATATATGGACAGTCATGGCCGACAAGACAGCTTCATTTTATATGCCAGGCAAGATAGATAGAATGGTCCGACACCTCTCCTCGTGTCCCAATGTCCCCGACTCTGTCAGGCAAGCAGCGGCTCTCGAAAGGTTCCAGTCCAAGTCTCGAGGGAAGGAGAACCGGCCGCCCAGTCTCTCCGCCTCCCGCTCGACAGTCTTTCCGACAGGGACAGCACTTCCAAGCTCCAATAATCCCACCATGACTCAG